GAAAGAGAGAGTTTAGTCAGCAAGCCCCATTAACTTCTTCCATGTGATACTGGGCCTTAATTTTACCACCTTCTGAGTGGAGTGCCATTCTTAAACTTTCTCATGGTGCGCAATATGTAATTAAACTACTGCATTTTTACAGTTTGTAGTTTCATCCTCTTTCACTAGGTATTACTGGAAAACAGAAGTGGGAAGGAGGTAGCTTGAAAACTAACATTTCTGTTGCAGACTTCCTACTACTGATGTCTCTCTAAGCAAGTATCTCTCGCTTATGAAAAAAACAGTTACCTTCTGCTATGTGCATCTTGAAATTGTCTGCTGAGAGTTCATACATTCCCTGCTTAGGTTCAGGGGCTTTTGGTGGTTCCACATCAGATTCTGGATCCTATTCAGGAGAAAAATTAACTTTTTTCTTTTACAGTAAATACACAATATTTGATTCGTGTATCACACCGTTCTGTGGTAGTGTTGTAAACCCTGCACTCTGAAATTTTAAATTCCTAAAGCAATGTCCTTATTTCGTTTGATTTAGATATCTAATGTTTCCTAACAAACAACTACTTGAAAGCAAGATGTGAAAAAGACTACCACACAGAAAAGAGTTATCACAGTCATTGGAACAACAGGGTCTTTCACCATGCTGTAGTATAGTCACAGAGCACAGTAATTGCTATGGCATTCATCACATCACCATGTATTAGTACACTTCGATTACATAACAGTTCCTCCATAGCATCATGCATCAGCCACATCTGCCATTGCACCAATTTCATTGGTCTTTGGGCTATTTACAAACAGCTAGTGAAAAAGCAATTTTCTGCTCCCTTAATGCGAGAAAGAGGGACCTTTAGCTCCATGAAGGCAGCAATGGGAAAAAAGCAAACGCTTTATAGGTATAACTTGCAGCAAACCCATTGGCACTTCAGTAAAAGCAAGTGATTACTTTCTGGATGCTAGGGTCAGAGCTGGAAAGAATTTAAAAACCTCAAAGTACATTTCTTAAAATAGTTTAGCATTTAATGTTTAATTATTAAAAATACCACGTTTGTTTAAATATAATCACATTCTAACTGTGGTTCAGCAATCACTAAAGCTTTATCTTGATTAGAAACAGCAATCATAAATTTAATTTTAGGCAAGGCTTGGCTACTATATGTAAGTGCTACCTCTAAATTCAAGGGTTTTCCTAGTGATGGTATTAGCTTAACTACCTAACCAACTATTTAAAACCCTTTCTTTAGGCTACAACATTGTCAGATAATAACTGAGCTAAAGATGGCATCCATGTTTTAAGAGGTAATTAAGCCCAACACAAATGCAATTTATAACATATTCACTTTTTTATTCTAGAAACATTATGGCCTACAGATGTCAACTGAACTGACACTAAGAATTGCATCTTAAAATGCCAAAATGCTAAACTTTAAAAACTGCATTATGTACTGTAGTTTTAAATACAAGAAACAAAGGTCAGGTCACAGGATGACAGTTTTAATTACTATGCTGACTTACGTGGAAGCTATTCCATATTGTTATTGCCACCTGACTTTTATTCTCAGGAGCAGATTTCCTCCTGGAAAATGAAACCTAACCTATAGAAATGATAGATAGGCAAGTCTGCAGAAGGGAGTATTTCCTTTTCTTATTTCCTTTTCACTTACAGATGGTTGCTCATTTAGTTTCTCCAACATCCACTTTTCCAGTGTCTGGAAGTCCCTAGGGCCTTGGTATTTCAGAGGTTCTTGTCCTGGTTTAAGCAGCTTTAGGCTAAAGGATCAAAATGTAGAAAAGAGTGAGGCAAAAATTTTCACATAGGAAACATTCTCAGAAAGCTAACACCCTTTACTAATCCACAGCAATGCAGCTCAGGCCGCAGTAATAGCTCTCTTGGCTATTAACATCAGCATTAGGCCATCTCTCTCAATGTAGAGGGTCATGGCTAGAACTTAGTACACTTTTTCATTCCCATGTAAGCTTTTAAAGGCGATTTTAAAAACAGCAAAAAGAAACACCATGTTAAAAATCAACATAGCCTAATATTACTTTGACCAATAAGCAAGAGCAAATAAAACACTGCAGCATTGCGTTCTAAGGTTAATCATACATTATGCCTATGAATCCTACTTCAGTTTGTCAAATAGCATCGATTTTGTTTTGTGCACGCCTCCCCATCACCAAAGGAAAACTATCCAATGCTTATTTTCCCAGGAATTTCTTTCTCATGTTTCATTCCCTGACTGCTCTTGGAATGTAGGACTTTTCATGTGGTATTAAAATGATTAAAAACACACTGAGACAAGTCATAGGTCAAGGAGATAAGTGACTACTTGTAGGGATTCAAGATTTCACGATTATAATATTTAATAACTGCTGTCAAAACTCCATACGCTACCTAAAGCTTCTACTATTAAATATTTAAGTTAAAATTGGAAATACATTTAGTAAAGGGGCAGTATCAACTTCTGGTCTAGTCTTATTTTTTAAAGCAAGTCATAGTTTCAATTACTACTGTCACCTAGCTCTCAGTTCCCCTTGCCAAGCTGTCATTTTGTACTGCTTCTTTTTCTTGAAATGTTTTTCTCTCTCTTCTTGTTCCGCAGTTGGGAAAAAAATGAACATATGAAAGTGTTGAAAAACCACATAATGCAAATACATTCAAAAGAGATAGGATCTCCCACTTTCTTTTCTATTTAAGGTATTCTTGAATGTTGCTTGTGATGACAGAATGTAAAAATTTTTTTGAGGGCAAAAAAAAAAGCAACTTTGTAATAAGAAGGAAATAACAAAAATGAAACAGAAGATCATCTAAAATGCACCTCCTGGCAATAGTTTTGAAGGGTAACAAGATAAAAAAAAAAAAAGATTCCAGCTTAAACAGTCAGCTGCATCTTTATCGTCTTCAAATGAGGGTAAGTTTTCTCTAGTTCAGCTGAGAGAGTATTTTGCAGCACCAAATAATTCCGAGACAACTGTACTAATGAGCACAGGGACCTGCTCGGCCAGTTTTACTCTCAGGGGGATGGCAAGGGGATGCAGCCTTTCCTTTGATAGGTATTTGGAAAAGCAGTGTAGGGACCAGCACATCCTGGACTTGCAACAATCCCTCTGTGCCTAAGGAAGCTGTGAAATTTCCCTTGCTGGAGGTTTTTAAAAACAGGATAGTTAAAAACTGACTCAGACAGGAAGATAATCGATATCATGAATTCCTCTTCATCTCTATATTTCTTTAACTAGCAGATGACTGCCTTATCATTTATACTTTTCAAGCAGATGAAAGCAAGCACCTACTATTCCTAGATATTCAATGACCTTAAAGGCGGGGGAGCAATTACAGGTCCATTCATTTTTTTCTTATTCATAATCTCTGCCACTTCTTCTATTTTACACGGAACAGCACCACAATGTCATCTATTTAAATACGCAAAGACAAGCAGCGCTCACTTTTAAGGATATTAAAATAAAGTTGTAATATTCATTGTTTCTTGGTGTTTCTAGTGGAAGTAAGCCACAAACTGCCCTTAAGGACTATTCCTACTTCAACAAGGACTTTGCTATTTATAACTCTCATCTTTTACTCAGTTGCACTCATCTGCGTCAAAGTGGGTGCAGCCAGGAGCATATGTCAAGTTCAGGCTGTTGCTGGGGTCAGCAGTAACGCCAGACAAAGTGAGCCAAGGGAAGGAAACTGAAAAATATTGGCTGTGGAAAGGCTACAGATGATTACATTCTCCACTTAATCCCCCCTAAGATGAGTGATTAGTAAAGCAGTTGAAATCATCCCATCCATTTTTGCAAGAAGCTTTAAAGAAGACATAACTGAAAAAAAATCCCTTTGCTCCTTTTTGGCAGCTAAAAAGGGAGCACGCGTATCTAACCCAAAAGCACTATCCAGGCTGACCTCTCATAGATATTCTAGATCATGTCCTGCCTACCAAAGCTGAGGTAGTAAGGCATACATCCCTTATAACAGGGTAAGTTTAACAACCTTAAACTCCAAATTAATTTCTCCTAGATCAACATAAGCAAAGTTACATAGAAAAAGTCTGTACAACATCACGACTGCTATGTTAAGTAACACTATTAATTTATCATTTAATGAGCACCAAGTTCACTCAAAAATTTAAGAGATCACCTATACATTAATTATGGATGGTACAGCATATTGATGAACTTGTGATAAGTTATTTTTAAAAGTAATGTTACCAGAGACCAGCTCTATCATGCATATCACGGCTGCATAATGTACTGTTGCTTGAGAAAGAGGTACTCTCAGAGAAAAGAAAAGGACAAATCTGGATTTCATTTAAACACAGCCATCTTCCAAGACATAAAAAAGGCTTAAAATGAACATAAGCGGTCCAAAGGGCTACAAAGAAACCCACCAAAAAAAATACAGCTTAGAAGTTAGCTTCAACAAATTGGCAGAGGATCATGGAAAACTATAAAAGAAAGAAATAGGAGCAGACATCCTTTTAGACTTACGTAGGGTATCCTCGGACACCAAATTCAGAACACAGTGGAGTATCTGTAGTACAATCCACTTTAACAACATAGACCTGTGGGTTTTCCATGTTGTTGTATTTATCTCCCAAATCATTCCAAGTTGGCTGGAGACGCTGACAATGTCCACACCTGTGACAGAAGGAACAAGATATTTGCTTAATAGCTGCTCGCATTTAGAAAGGAATGAATCTATGGAAAAGTCATACGCAGAATGATCAGATATTTTGATAAATGTAGAAATAGTTAAGTCAGAAATCTTCCATACCCGAGCACTGTTACACTAAGCAACAGTGAATACTATTAAGAATGGTAGGACACTGCAAACACATCTCATGTAAAAATCATCAAGAGATGAGAATTTCTTGCTACTATCTCTTATTATACAAAGCCTATTGAACACCTCCTGAACCTAGTGAGGCTATTAAGAAAAGCACTCTCAGTCTTCCAGCTTTCTAGAAAAATCCTGTGAGGCTGTTTAGCTTTCTTTCCACTCTAACATTTCAAAACACTGTATATTTTAGCAGCAGTTAAGAAGATAATGGTTTATAGCCTCTTTGTAAGGCCACTTGTGCTTGCATGCATCACAGGAATTGTAACTCACAAGTCATGAAACACATCAGGACTGATTTATGAACAGGGTTTCTCAAAATCCTCCCATACTGTGCTTTGCCCCAGTAGCACACCATCAATTAGTTATTACTGCATATACACAGAAAACTGGCCTTACACAGTTCTATAACAGCAGCCCCACAGAAGCAGAAAATGGCTATTATTCTTCTTACTGTTTTCCTAGTCTTTCAAGTCATTATAGCAATACCATACTCCTATAATTACAATGAAAAATTTTAAGGAATGGATTATCATTTCTCTTTAATGGCTGCTTTTGCCAACCCTCCAAGACGTCTAAAAATACATAATTGGATTAACAGAAAACATTTTCAACCTGACAGTATGAAAGCTGTTATTGCCCTTGGCACGATCTAGACAGTTTACTTTGTAAGTAACAATTAAAACACCATGAGGACTTTAGAGAAAGTTGCTCCCATTTAAAACAGGTTCACTTATACAACTGGGTTTGAGTCCACTTGTAGAAAAGTTGCATGGATTCACACCTTTCTGGGTATCTTGGTATCATTAAAGAAAAAACAAAACAAAACAAAACCAAACCTTGAGATTTACTTTATTTTAAAGAATGTCTTCTGACCTTAATAAGGTCCTGTTACAGTCAGGCACAGTGGGTAACACATACTCCCACTATGTGGGGGAATATGACCTCCCATATGATCTTATTCTGAATTGTCATGGTGACAGGATACAATGTGTTATTACTAAAATTAAACATTCCTTAAATATCGAACTTCAGACTGAAGTCCCTCCATAGTCAACTCTTTCATGGAGCTTGAATTAAGAAGAGGATTTTGGATTCCCTGGTCCCTTCCTCTAGCAGTTGTGGGGATTTAAAACACTGAATGAATACTGAGTGGTGTTAAAGAACAGAGCACGGAAAACTAAGTAAGGCAATCTCAAGTAATTAACACACTGTTTTTTAAACGCAGAACAGAGCTGCCTTGTCCATATTTAACACTGATCGCTGCTATACACAAAGTTCCCCCTTCCCTTCCTTCTTCAGATTATATGAGCTAAAATTGAAAATAAAGTAGGAAAATTTCTCCTGAGTCAGTAATCAACTAGTTAGTCATTCCTGGGTTTCAAAAAAATTCAGTATTACACAGAAGGAAGTATATGACGTGTTTTTTTTTTTAAAAATACTTTTTCTGAAATTCATAAGGTGTAGCTGCAGAATATATAAAACCAGAGAAGTCAAAAATAAAGAGCAAGACCATGCAACATCACACGCCTCCCTTAGCTCCATGTACCTGCACAGTCTTTCGTTGCTACCAACCTACATCATATCAGTGGGGTTGGAGGAGCAGCCAGTTCTACCACTGGTAATGGAGGAGACCCGGGCATCAACGAGGAGTCCTGCTCTTCTCTCCCTACGTGGGCTAGGAAGGTGCAAGCATTCGTAACCTCTGTTTACAAAAGTCAACAAAGATCCAAGAGAGACTAACAAGGCCATAGGAAAGATCCGCTTTTCTGAAAAAAAATGAAACAAAACCCTGCTTCTTGTACACCACTAACATCAGGAGGTATGGCTGAAAGGACGTTATTTGTACAGGTCCGCAGAGAGGTTGCTCATTTTAAGTCTGAGCAACCATGTGCCACACATGCTCGTGCCTGGAGATTATTTTGCTGTGGCAGTGTCTGTAGAGTACCAGACTGCTCCACCTCACACTGACAGGTCAGGGCCCCTCCCACAGTCTCAGCGCTTTCATCTGCAAAACTGCACAGCAGATCTCCTGGGCCATGACAAGAAGGGATGTAAAGGTACATAAGGACCATATATGTCAAAACTGCAGTCAGTGAGGAACACACACATTTCTGGAGGCCACCAGTAGAGCTTGAGCTCTGGAGCTAGCAAGGGCAGCTCCACGGCAAGATATAGCACAAATCATTACCCAACTGAAAATGTTGGTAGACCCTGGGATAGACAGGTATAATGGTACAAGCAGCACAGGACCAGTCTCGCTCTGGACAAGAATCCAGCTAAGGTAAAATCCAGTCAACAGAGTTCAATTCAACAGCAAGAAACTCTGGTGATCAAGCCTGCTTCAGCTCAGTGGACTTCTAGAGGTTTACCAAGAGACTGCATAGGTTGAAGAGATCTGTGATGGTCAAAACAACACAGTGAAACTACTAATTTGAGATTCCTTCCAACTAAGGAACCAGGGGAACCTCATTCCTCTGTAGACATGCAACTGACATGGCCAACATCTTAAGAATATCTAGTGTCACCAAAAGAATAACTTGCTCGCAGTTCTGTCCCTTGCCAAGTGTAGCCACCAAGGGGGACAGCCTGATGATCAAAAACCTTAGACATCTGATGCCAAATTACTTGGAATGGTCTCTTTTTGGAGTAGCCCGCAATATTTGAAACAAATATAGGACCTCATGCATACCGGGAGCAAGGCCCTCAGCGACATCAGTTTCAAGAATCTGGAAGAAAAGAGTTGCGTCAGCTCTAACCGAACTCTTATTGGTAGCATTGACAATGCAACATTAGCAGCATCCATAACAATCTGAAAGACAATCTAGCTGAACATTGGGTTGTTTGCTAGGCTTCTCCCTCATAACCGCAGGGAGCAGTGCCAGAACGCATGCCCCTGTGAGAAGCATTAGGAAATTAGCACATTAACGTCACCTAGGAATAGGCCAAGAGGCTCTAATATAGACTGCAGGGCTGTCAGGTTGCAGCCTGATTCCACTGATGATAAAACTACTGGCATGTGTAAGCATCTCTCTCAAGCACTTGGATTTTCCTTTTGTCCTTTTCTTGCCCTTGGGACCCAAAACCTGGTCCTGTTGCTGCCTGTCAGGAGCCAGGAGTCCAGACCAAGGGCCCTGAAGCCAAGACCCAGAGATCTGAAGGAGGTTTGCTAAGGGGGAGAAGAACATTCAGAGAAGCTGTAACAAGTCTCTGAAACGATGCAGGTCCATCACAGAGATCCTCAGCCCTCACAAGAGCACAGCGTGGTCCAAGTTTGCAAGGCCAGTGCTTTCTCTGATGCACGCTGAGGATATGCAGCACAGCATACACTGGACTCTGCAATAGCCCATTTGGCACCCGCTCTCCTATAAAACAGCGCGCCAAGATAAAAGCTCCTCTGGTTTTAGGGATGCCTGTGAAACAGTCAGTCAAAGCTTAGACAGACACAGATATTATCACCTGAAAACAGAACAGAGCAGAAGCACTCCTGCTCTGCACAGGCATTTCTTAGGCCTTACAGCACTCTCAGGCAAAGGTCCTTCACCAGCAAGTCAGGCGTCCTCCACTTTTGTGATCTTCAGAGAACAAAGGCATGCATCTGCTCTTTCAAGCTTTTGCTTAACATTTTTGTACAGCACAAACAAGTCAATGTTAATAAAAAAGTAGCTGTTCCTCAGTTTTGAAAGGAAATCCTTTTCTGCTGCTGATTTCAAAGAGCGTCATGACTCACGTATGCCTAAATGGCACTGCATACAAACAGATAATGTAGGATCAAAACATAACTTCTGCACATTGTTCCTATAACTTTGTTTTATCTAAATTTAAGAATACCTGGAGAAAAAAAATAAAAACTAAAAAACCCCAACCAACCAACCTTCACAAAAAAACTTCCAGTAATCTCTACTGGATACCACCAAGTCAGATAAAAAAGGGTAGGGAAGAGATGAAGAAAAGAGAAGAATAAGAACAACCACTAGAAAGGCCCAGAGATGGTAAGTCCTGTCCTCTTGACAGCTGTAACATCCAGCAGAGCCTTGTTCTCCCACTCTTCTCAACCATTCTTGTGCCAAACACACCAGTCCAGGACAAAAGCCCAGTAGGTCTCTTGCAAATCTGAGAACTCTCCAGCTCTGCTACGGCTACCTGTGGCCTTGGGGACACAGCACCATCGTTATACTGCTTTCACCACAAATTTATCTTTAAATTTCATGACTGCAAAGAGAACGTAACTTCTGCAATAAAAGTATTTGTGAGATTGGAGGGCACAGGGTAAGAAATGGTGACCAAATTGCAACTACTGCCATACACTGAGGCCGTACGCTCGTGGTCTCTTTGAGTCCGGGGAGGGACAGAGAGAGCCGCTGGGGACCGGGGCCGGCTCCAGCCCAGCAGAACGGGGGCTGACCCCGCTTGCCTCCTCACTG